ACATCTGGTAGAGTCCCTTACAGGTGGAGAAATAAGCAAATGCAAAGGCCCTGGGGCAAGAGCATTCCTGGTAGGTTGCATTGTTGTAGGACTTACAGGAAGGCCAGAGTGGCTAGGACCGAGGTGGGAGGAGCATGAAATGAGGTCAGTGTGGGGCCCTGCAGGCCACTAGAAGGACTTGCGCAGTACTCTGAGTAAGGTGGGAAGTGGCAAAATCTGACCATGTTGCCCAGCTATTGGATTGAAAAGAGACTACATGGGAATAAGAGTGGAAACAGCAGGACCACCTGTGAGGCCACTGCGATTTTCAGAGAGAGCAGTTTGGGTTTGGACAACGGTGGGAGCAGAAGTTGGGGACAGGATTTGCTGACAATGAGGACGGTTGTAAGGTTTCTGGCCTGGACATATGGAAGGTTTTTTTTTTTTTTTTTTTTTTTGATACGGGGGATTGAACTCCGGTCCTTGTGCTTGCAAGGCGGGCCACCGAACTGCTGAGCTAAATCCCCGGCCCCTGCAAGGTCATTTTTTAAGTGCCTTATCTTAAGAGCTCAGGCTCCCTGGCTGCAGTTGCTGTTCAGAGGATATAGGCGGGGGGATACCGGAAGCTTGCTGGAGGCCTGGGGCATAAGTGTGTCCAGTAAGTGCTGAGGAGGACGCAGGTCCGAGTCATCCTGCAGGGCCCAAGGTGGCACAGGCCACCACCAGCAGGTCCTGGCCTGGGGGCGGTAGGGGGACAAGAACAGTGCACAGCCTGGGGTATCAGGAGCCACACCCGTGTGTGATGCCTGGAGAGGGCAACATGCCCCCGCCTCTAGGTCCTCCCGAAGCCCAGCATCCCTTTGCCCGGTTCCTCTCAAGTTCCCGGTACCCTAGCTGGGGCTCCGGGCTCACCCCAGGAGTGGCTGAGGGGTACACAGAACAGCACTGTCTGGGTGGGACATGGATGGAGCCGGAGGGACGGGCCGGCATGCCGTGACTGTGGAGCCGGAGGCCCCTCTGCAGAGCCCAGCGGTGGGGTGGACGCCCCGGGCCCACTGCACACACACAGACCCCCGCTGTGCCGTGGGACCGCAGCCACCTGTGCTGAGCGCCGTGTCGGCGTGGCTGCCACCCCGGCTGCCCCTCACGTTGTCTGCTGTGTTCCGTGCTCGCTCCTGTCCTCCTCCTTGTCTGTCATTATTCCTGGGAGTTTCCTTCCTCCTGCCCAGTCCTGTTACATTTTTAAATTCTACCATCGTATTTCATGTTTGAGTAACCGTGGCGTTCTCAGGATGTCCTCCTTTTCGTTTCTCACGTCATTCTCTGGCTCTTGCGTCTGAGAATATGAATTACAGCTGTACCCTAGAAGCTCTCTCCTGCACACCTTGTGCCTGTTCTGCCTTCCTTTCTTGCTGCTTTTCTGCGTTTTTTTTCCTCTCTCTTTCTCCCCTGCTCCCTCCTTCCATCCTTCCCTCCCTTCCGTGGTTACTTGGCTTTGTCTTACACTAGTGGTGGGCACATCATGGTCCCTGAAGAGGGACACTGGCCTCGGGCCGCACCTTCGCTCCAGAGGGAGCCCCTTCTGTCTGCTCATGTTTCACGCTGGAACCTGACTCCCTTGGCTGTGGTCCAGTAGGTGTCCCCTGAAGTCCCTTACGTTGCAGTCCCCACTTCCCCGCTGAAACCTTTGTCCATCTACCATGCTGCCCTGCTTGGCGACACCTGTGCCAGATGTTTCACCAGAGTTTCGCCCTCTTTACCAGTTGTCCTGGAGCAGTGCTCTCTGTCCTCTTTACCGCCCATTCTCTCACCCCTACCTCCTGCTCTGGGCTGTTGCTCGTAATGTGTCCTGGGCTTCTTCATTTTCAGGGCGGAACTGTGACAAGCGTCCAGAGCTCTCTGTCCATGGACAGCGCGGCTGGTCTCTCCGCCTTCGCTCTCAGCCAGACCGGGTCCTCTGGGAGGGTTTCTGTCCCTCCCCACTGTGGTCAGCTGGGACCCTCACTGAGGCCCTGTACTTCTGCTCCCTCACTCCCTTCCCAGCAGGGCCCTGGGCTTACGATTTCCCTGCGTCGCCGTCTCTCTTTAGCGCAGTTGCAGAAACAGTTTGCTGATGGCTGGGATGGGGGCTGGCCATATTCAGTGTGGAATAACCCCGGGATCCTTCTTAAGGATTTGGGCTTCCAGCTTCCTGTTTAACACTGGGGCTGAAAAAGCAGGAAGGGAAATTGAATGGTTTTAAAATACAGTTAGCCACAGTGGAGCTGCCTGTAGTCCCAGAGGCCAGAGGGTGAGACAGGAGGATCCTTTGAACCCAGAAGTTGTCAGTTGGTTCTCTCTACTTCAGATTTACAAGTGCAGTGATGCAGTCGTTAATGACAGCCTAGAGCAACAGAACTTTGTGGTAAAATGTTACACTGCCAGGGAAGCTGCAACAGTTAATCATACCCTAAGAAGCCATAAGTGGCTTCTAATCAGATTTATTGTCTCCCAGATCCTGTCACATAGGACAGCATGCACCTGAGGATCCTGAAAAAAAGGCGCAAAATGTCCGAGTGATGTTCAGAAGTCATCTGTGCGGTAAGTGTAGGCGAGTGTCCCGTCCCTCTACCGGCGCGGACCAGCCTTCCCTTCCCGGCCGTCTGTGTGCTCGCCGCTGGGAGGACGGGAGGGCCCTGGAGTTGTGTTGGTGAGCAGCTGACTCAGCTCCAGGCTGGGCCGACCCAGGTTTTGGATATGGGCGGCCTGCCCTGTGTCCGCGCCCTAAAGTGAGAGGGCTATGGCGCTGCTTGTAGTCACCTCATTTTCTAAGAGGATAAAGAGCCTCATTCACCGTTGGACCAAAGTTCCGGGGTGTCAACAGAGCCCCATCACGCTGGCATTGAAAGCGGAAAACAGCGCTGTGGTGACCTGTGTTCCTGTTGGTCGCTCACTGGGCAGGGCAGAAGTGACCTTCGGGATCTTGCCTTCGTGTGTGGCTGTGTGCGCGTTTCAGCGCTGTGTCCTGTCCTGAGCGCTCCTGTCCCCAGCACGTAGACCAGGGTGGAGAGGAGCCCTGCCTTCATTTCCTCCCCTCCCTTCCGGTCACGCGCATGACTCAGCAGGCGCCAGTGCACTTTGGGACAGGAACAGAAACTGGCATTGGCCTGCCATTGCTTTCTTGAATATAAAGTGATTTTTGTTTCCTCACTTTTTTTTGGTGCCAAGGATCAGACTCCGGAACTTGCGCTTGCGAGGCAGGCAGCAGAACCACTGAGCTACGTCCCCGGCTATAAAGTGATTTTCCATTGACCTCTCAGGGACTGTACAGATTCGATGGCTTTGGTGTCCTCAGGTATTGCACGTCACTGTCTCGGCTGTGTGTCGAGGAGTGTCCTGCTGTGGCCACCGTTAAGTGTCACGGGTGCTGTTCACACGGATGCCCTACATCTGCACCCCCAGGGACGACCGGTGCACCCCCTCTGTGTTCTCACGGGACCTCAGCCAGCCCACTCGTGGGGGATCCTGGGAGAACTCCGACCACCCGAACACAGCACAGTACACTGGCCCTGCACACGGCCCCTCACCCCAGAGCCTGTCCTCCCAGAGAGGCTGCTCTCCTGGGGGCATTTTTCAGCTTCATCCTTGGTGCCCTGATCCACTATGAAACCCTGGAGATCCCAGACTCTGGAGCCTGAGAAGGGGTCCCCGTTCCCTCGTCTTGCAGATGTGCCTTTCATTGCTGCAAGCCAGTGCCCAGTCACAGAGAGGGGACACAGGGCAGGAGAGCATAGCAGGCAAGGAGGGAGACGGGCAGAGGCCCCCACGCAGACGTGGACAGTGGTACCGGTACCCCTCACACGCATGTGGCCTGTCCAGCCCCTGTAGAGCCGGGCTGCGCTAGTGGAGCTCGGCCGGCCGGCCTGGAGCTGCCATGGACCCCTCACTGGAGGTGGCGGAAAGGAAGGAGGAGCCCATCTTAGCGTGGCTGCAGGAGGAGGTCTGCAGACCAGTAAAGCTGAGCCCCAAACCTGGGCAGTGGAGGGGCTGCTCTCCACACATGGGCTCCGCGAGGGAGCTGGCTGAGGTCTGTGCCGTCTGCTTCCCCAGCCACCTGAGCAATGAGCTCAGGAGGTGAGGGTTATTTGGGCTCAAGGTTTTAGTTCATTAGAGGCAGAAACAGCGTGATGGAAGGGCAGGTGGGAAGCCGCTCACCTGGGGGTGGGGTAGCCAGAAAGGGGCGGGGCCAGATAGTGCAAGGCCACACCCACCTCCTACCGTTGGTCATCCCGCAGATGAGGGTGGAGCCTCATGACCTAGTCCCCAGTGTGGATTCCATCTCTGAACACGTGCGTGCCTATGGCGAACTTTTACATTCAAAGCATAACAAAGTCTGTCAGTCTTTTGATCTTTAGTTTCTTATATTTTGCTTAAAATGTTTTGAAAGCTACTTCTGCCTGATAGAAGAGTTGGGCTTTTTTACCTACTGTAAAGCAATTTCATTTTCTCTGATAGTGGTATTTTATATGGAGAGAATCGTGCAGTATTTGGAACAAGTTGATGGTAAAGCGATCCCCTCAGTGCCGGGCTCCATTTGCATCTAGGATGCTGCAGAGGTTCTGAGCCCACAGAGCTCTTGTCCTTGGGCTGTCTTTCCCGCATTGGGAGCCTGGAAAGTGCAGCTCCGGCTCTCACAGCATTGGGCTGCTCCCGCCCTGTACAAAGCTGAGGCAAGGTCGACTTGGACTCCCTTGTCCTGCCTCTTATCTGCCAGGAGCCCTGCCACCCTCTCGGCAGACTCGATAAGGGAAGCCCTATGTTTGAAGGAGGGGAGGCACTGGCTCCAGACTCCATGTTCCTGGAAACCAGGTGCCTCAGAAAGTCGGGAAGGTCCCACCCAAATGCTCGGACCGAGGAGACCTGGGCAGCAAAGGCCTTGTAGTGTGCAGGGGAAGCCTGGTGCCTGCTCAGGAACAGGTCAGCAGTGGGGAAGGAAGGGTAAACTGAGGCTGTGTAGGTGTGTCCATGACCTTTCCTGTCGTGCTGCTCCAGCCCTGCTGAGCCCCTGCTTGGGTGAACAGCCGAGGGCCCAGGGGAAGGCACAGTGTGTGACGGGGTCTTCTTTGCTGTGCTGCGTGGACCTGGGCCTTTCATTGTCTCTGCACATGCCTGGGGACCGTTCTGTGCCCCTGGACATAACCCACACTGGGGAGCTCTGTGTCATGCACAGCAACAGGCAGTCCAGTGAAGGACTTGGAAATGCAACTCTCCTCTGTTCTGCCTGTTTCCACTTAGTGTGTGGTTTCCGTACATGATTACAGTTACTGTGAGAAGTGTATGCATCGTAATTCTTTTTTCATCCTCTACCCTTTTCCCTCCCTGCTCCTTCTAACTCTTGGACCCTTTCCTGCTTTCAGAAGCCCTATTTTCATCATTGTTTTCAATTCTTTATTTTCCCATTTTTATCCATTTGAAAAATATCTCCCTACTTTTTTTTGTTTTGCTAAAGTTTAATTTTTGTTTGTTTTGGTTTTTATGTTTTTGAGACAGCATCTCACTACATAATTCAGGTTCACCCAGAACCCTAATCCTCCTGCCTTAGCCTCTAAAGGGCTGAGAACACAGGCATGCATCACCACACCTGACAACTTTGCTAAATTAAATTGACCAGTTGTAGTTCTTAGTTTGTAGATTTTTTGAGATTTTCTTTGTGAACACAATTTTTTTTTTTTTTTTTTTTTTTTTTTTTTTTTTTTTTTTCTTTGT